ATGAATATTTCAAGTAAAAACATGATAATTCTATAATTTATGATTTTCATGTAATTCCAGTGGCAGGAACTCCAAACTCCATGATGCAACTTGATAATTCAACATAACTGAGAAGCAATCATTAGTAAATGTGTTGTAGTGCATATTTCAACAAGTGAAACCTGATAACTTCTTTGCTTCTTGTGTGTGTGTGTGTGTGTGTGTGTGTGTGTGCACTGGTTTGGGTGATTTATGAGGACACAAATTTGTATAATGGCATGGGTGTGACACAGGTATTACAATATGAAGGTGGTTTATGACACTATAGTGTCCCCGTAATTCAAAAGGCTTAAAAAAACATGCTAAATGGTGTTTTTTTGAAAATCTAAAAATGCACAAAGTTTTCTGTGAGCGGTAGGTTTAGGTGTAGGGTTGGTGTATAGAAAATACAGTTTGTACAGTATAAAAACCATTACGCCTATGGAGAGTCCCCATAAACCACCAATACCAACATGTGTGTGTCTGTTTCCATTGTCAGGAACTCCAAACATCTACAGATGTTTCTGACAAAGACTGTGGTAAGTCACCATAATTGAGATGCAACCATTAGCAAATGGTTTACAGTCCAAATTTAAAGTGTAAAGATGAAAATATGTACGTTTGTATAGTCCAGTGGCAGAGACGTTAACATTTATATATGTTTCTGACAAACTGCATAGAGCAAAATTTAAGTCACTATAACTGAGAAGCAATCATTAGCAAATGGTAAAAAAGCTTGTCATTCTATTATTATGCACATTTTTTTTTCCAGTGGCAGTAACTGCAATATTTTCATAGGTTTCTGACGAAATGCATAATGCAAAGCCATAACTTAGGGTTATTGAGAAGCCATTGTTAGAAAATGCTTTCCAATGAGGAATTCAGCATATAATTTAATGAAAAAGTTGATAATTACTTATTTCTGCACTTTCAGTTGCCAAAAGTGCAAACTCCATGCAACTCCAAAATGCAACATAATAATTCAGTGTAATCGCGAAGAAATCATTAGCAAATGATCTGTAGTGATTATTTCAATATATTTAAAGTGCAAAGCAGATAAATCCTGCATTGCTTACATCTTATTTAGTGGCAGTAACTGCAAGCATCTATAAACATTTCTGACAAACTGTGTAACGTCATGGGATAATTCAACGTAATTGAGAAGCAATCATTAGCAAAGGCTTTGTAGTGAATTGTTCAGATAAAATAATTTCCTCTCCGCCAGCCAAAGATAATATCCCATCAATGGAATACACCATAGCCATATTTCTTCTTAAAAGGACAGTGGAAGGGTACGTGAATAATGAAGTGAAATTGCGCCAAGAGGTGCTAAATCGTTTGTGATAGGTTCAACTAGAGGACACCTGTGCATTTTGTTCCTCACGAGCGCACTTCGAAGTTCTCCAGGCGGGCTTTAGGCAGGCTAAATGTGTCTACCTGATGGAAGTGCATTCAAGGAACAGATGATGGTACAGTAGCTTCTCTGTGTATTTGAGCAGCATGTCATGATGATCCCTAATGCGACAGTAATTGCTCCTTGATGCCTGGCTTGCCAGCACAGAGAGCAAGAACTTTCTCCCATGAGTCAGAGAGAAAAGACTCCGAAATTGGAATGTCAATGGGATAATCCCCATGTTGCTGCTAATGGATCCTCTTGACCTTTGACTGCCAAATATAAGGTGGAGTGAATATTTTACAAACAGCTTACGTTAACGATGCTTGCCCTAAAATGATAAATGAAACCTTTTAACATGTTTCAGGCGGTTTATAAACACAAAGGAGGTGTTGCTGGAGGTGTTTGGCTCTTTTGAAGATGACCGCAGATGAGTCTGGCATGCCATCCGACTGAAAAATGCGGGAAGTCTTGCTATAGGGCGGCCCGAAGCATGTGGAGAACACTTGAATATATATATCTGAGTATTTAATCTCAACACAAACAGTGTGGGACGGGGATCTTTCAGTGGTCTGAATTCCTTCTCCATGTGTGAGAAATCTGCCCTCCGCAACCTGCAGTAACCATGGTTATAGGAACAGGAAGGAACCAATTCCAAAAGCACTAGAAATGTTTAAACTTGCAGGGCATGGCAGAAATTCAACTGATACTCGATAAAGTGTGCAAGACATTCAAATATTTACTTTTATTCCTAACTTGGAAACAAATTTACCATATAAGAGTAAATTACAATCCATAAATCTTATTTCCTGTCACTTCTTGCCTCAAGCATTGCAGCTAACTTAAACAGTTTACTGCTGTTTTTAACATTTTTGTCTGTCAGGCCCCCCTTTATATGATTCTTCATTTCAGTATTAGCTTTTTAAATGATTTGTTCTGTTTTTTGTTTTTAATGCATTTTATCATAACATTTTGATTGTCTCTTGTAGTTTTTTTATTAACCTATTGTATGTATTTTTTTAAGTCATTTAGCATCCCTCATTATTGTCTGCTGTTCATCATAATAAATGTTTAGAAAAAAGTCAAAACATCAAGCAAAAATTGACAGTAAGCTATGCAACTTCAAAACTGCAACTGAAAATTTGACCCCAAATATAAATATAGTGGCAATAGTGGCGTTTGCTAAGGCAAGGAAGTGACAGCACGTTTGTATAACATTTTCTAACAAATTAAGTATATGTACTAAGCAGTGTGAACAAAAATGGTTTGGTGCAGGATGTATCTAACAGCTATTCTTATAATCAAATAATTCGATTTTTATTTTTGATTAAAAATCAAAAAATTATTGTTTTATGTATTTAAAAAATATTTAAAAAAATTCAAATGATAAAAATTAATTATAAATGTAAAAATTACATTAAATTGAAATGTTTTACATTTTTAGCTATTTTATTTGTTATTTTTATATTGATTAATTTCTTTATTTTATAGCTGTTGTTGTAGCCCTGATCATTCTACCAAAAGTTATATATATATACTGTATATATATACATACACACCACATTTCTTGAGTATGTCTGTGCTCAGAGGAGCCCTCCAAAGTGATCTACATTTCAGCATGCATGGAGGGCTCTGGGAAGCCATGCCAAAAAATGTCAGGAGCTTGTCAGCAATTCTTCTGATTTGTCATCAGCCTTATCAGATTTTGCAGTGCATCTCCTTCCTGAGTGTGAATGGAAAAATGGAATTCATTCATTCAGCATTGGAAACTGTATGGCCGCTTTGAGTATGTGTGTCTTTGCCTCTGGATAAACAAAAATGGATTTTGAAAAATGCCAGATCTCTTCCAGATGGTTTCACACAACACCTCGCTTTACCATTTCAGCCCTGCGTCTAAAATCATGACTCGGTGTGGCACTCTGTGCGTGGCGTCCCTTGAGACATGTACAATAACAAATCATTTTTCACAGCGATCTTTTGTTTAGCACTAACTTGCCGCTGAGATATATGTGAACTACTACAACAAACAATTTCAAACCATCTGAACATTAACTCATTTGTCAAGATGTTTAAACAAATGCAGTGGCTTATTTACTGGGCTACTCTAATGAGTAGTTAACAAAAAAAATTGAATTTTGTCATTTTTGGATTGTTTGTTTGTTTTTGTCATTTCAAACCCTTTCTTTCTTTAGTGGAATGTACTGTTAAAGTTAAAGTTGCTTTTTTTAATTAAATTAATGGAGCTTGCAGACTTTAAAAGGGATATAAAAGCACCATAAAATGGTGCTAAAAGTAGTTTTTATGACTTTGTGCTATCATGAACAAATCTAGATTTTGAGTCCAATGTTTTTAATGAATCAGTTGATTGAATGATTCATTCATGAATGATCTGGTTCTCCAGTTAAGTTCACTGAACTAATGATCTGTGGTTCTCAAGTTAAAAATCAATGGAGGGAAAGATTATTAGTGAACAGTGATTTTAAATGTAGTCTGTACTTGAGAATATTTGCCATATTTACATTCATGCGTTTGTCAGATGTTTATGTCCTAAGCAACTTATATAGCATTCAAAGTATATGTTGTATCAGTTCATGCATATTGAACCCATGACCTTGGCATTGCTGGCACAATGCTCTACTATTTGAGCTTCAGGAATGCATGCAAGCTGAATGGACCATTTTTTGTGATGCTGTTAAAGGAATAGTTCACCCCAAAATGAAAATTTGCTGACAATTTACTAACCCTCATGCCATTCAAGATGTAGATGAGTTTGTTTCTTCATCGGCGCATGATTTAGAGAACTTTTGCATTTCATCACTTGCTCACCAACGGATGCTCTGCAGTGAATGGGTGCCGTCAGAATAAGAGTTCAAACAGCTGATAAAAACATCACAATAATCTACAAGTAATCCACACTACTCCATTCCATCATTTAACATCTTGTGAAGTGAAAAGCTGCATGTTTGTAAGAAAGAAATCCATCAAGACGTTTTAGACTTCAAACCTTCTGATCAAAATGAGAGTCCTCTGTCCATAATATTGCTTTCTCCAGTGAAAAATCTTGTTTTCATCTTGTTTGAACCAGGAGAGAAATATGCTTCATTGTTTACAAGTGAAAACAGTCCAAAACAGTTCTGAACAAATGTGTCTGTGGATTTTGATGTGACAACAGAAGATGGACTTTTTCACTGAAGGAAGCATTATTATGGATTATGGACACATATTTTGGCCAGAAGCAAAGGTTTAAAGTTAAAATGCCGTCATATGGATTACTTGTGGATTATTGTGATGTTTTTATCAGCTGTTTGGACTCTCATTCTGACGGCACCCATTCGCTGCAGAGAATCTATTGGTGAGCAAGTGATGTAATGCTACATTTCTCCAAATCTGATCCAATAAAGAAACAAACTCATCCATGTCTTGGATGGCCTGAGGGTGAGTAAATTTTCAGCAGTTTTGGGTGAACCACTTCTTTAAGTCCCAAAGCTAAAGCTTGAAAGATTTAGTCCTCATTCATTGATATTGCATTGTGATTGACCAAATTATCTACTTTTGTGCTCCACAGAAGAACATTATCGGGTTTGGAAAGGCATGAGGGTGAGTAAATGATGAACCACATTTCACATTTTCTTATTAGAAAAGTTTGGTGCCCAGAAAAAATCTTGCAAGTAGCTCTTGTACTGTTTGTCTCTGTATAATGTCAGAAAAGTTTGCCGCAGAGCTCCGCTAAAGCTGTGGTTTGAGTCAGGAAATGTCTGAGCATCACTGGATGAGGGATTGAACCTGCTGGTTTTAGCAGTCTTTACTGCCTTTCCTCCAAGTTAAAAAGGAAAAAAGGCTATGGATTTATGATTTAGCACCATAAGAATGTGCACAGGAATATTTATGTTCGAGCAAAGGCATAAAGTAATGAGTGACTGCTATATAAAGGCTTTGAACGTACACAATGCTGCACCAACAGCTTGGTGGACAAGCATGTAGTTGGCTCCAAAAAAGTCATTTTAGTTCAATTTAAAAACGATTTGAATTAAAAGTCTTAATTAAGGGGAGCAGAAGCACTTGCAATCAATGCAAGCAGTAATGTTGAAAGTCTTATTTGCAAGCATTCAAAGCTCAAAATGGGAAACGTGTGCTACGTGTTCACTGACGGCATTACACAAATTCCTCCCTAATTGTACATTTGACATCTTTCAAAGCCGAAGAAGTGGCAGTCCAGCAACAGGGAATCTAGGGATAAGGCGATATATGGACCACATCAGTCCCGCTTCTCCCATGGGCTATTTAAAAGTACAGTAGGCTGTATTTTCCGCTGCAAAGCCAAGCACCCACCCTTCCGTCCTTGCACCATATTGGAAACAGATGCTGTTGGATGCAAGGCCTGGCTAATTTAAGTGGACAGGCCAGATGGAGGAGAATGATTGCACACTACCCCCTGTTGGCTTTCATTTCGTAAGGTTTCAGAAACATGGCAGAGGTCTGCAGAGAGGCAGTGAAGAATTGTTTTACTGTTGAACGTTTCAGCCCCGTACAGCACTGGATCCAGCGTGGGTAGCCGTTTCCTAAATTAGACTGTCACACATACAGGCACTCAGAAACTAGCATGCAGCTATGCAGGAGGGAACTTTTTTATAATAGAAATAGATCTAAATATTACCACTGGTTAGTGCGTATGCCATCACAGTTGTATCCGCCAAATGTTATTTTGCAGTTGTTAAATGCTAGTGTTTTCCTCTTATATAAATCAGCTTGTTTTTTTCGTAAGTTGTATTCAAAACCTCCAAAAGCATATAAACCATGCTAAGTGACTGTCTAGAAGGATAGTTTATGTTTAGGAATAATTTTGTCATCATCATCTCAGCCTCATGTTGCTCAAAACCGCATCACTTTTTTCTTCTTTTTATCTTTGATCATGTTTATATATAAACAGAAAGGGGAAAAAAATACTTTTATTCAGCAAGGATGAATTAAATTGATCAAAAGTTGCATTAAAGAAATTTATGATGTTACAAAAGAATTATATTTCAAATAAATGCTGTTATTTTGAACTTTCTGTGTTCGTCATGGAAATCTAAAAAAAAAAAATGTACCAAAGTTTTCACATAAATATGAAGCAGCACAACTGTTCTCAACCTTGATAATAATCAGAAATGTTTCTTGAGCAGCAAATCAGCATATTAGAATGATTTCTGAAGGATCATGTGACACTGAAGACTGGAGTAATGATGCTGAAAATTCAGCTTTGCATCAAAGGAATAAATTACATTTTAAAATATATTCAAATAGAAAACTGTTATTTGAAATTGTAATAATATTTCACAATATTTCTATTTTTACCATATTTTTGATCAAATAAATGCAGCCTTGGTGAGCATAACACACTTATTTCAAAAACATTTAAAAAAAATATTTTGAACGGTTGTGTGTTACATACAGTATACCCACTTGTGTGAATAGAAATAATGTACAAGTAGTACTGACTACTTTTATAGTACTGTTTTGACATTTTTGGAGCTTAACAGCCTCAGTTCCCACTCGCTTTTATGGTATAAAAAAGTATCTTTGTTTATATTCCACAGATGAAAGGAAGTTTTCCATTTGGGTTGAACTATTGCTTTAAGGGTTCCGTAATCTAAATATTAAGCTCATCTAACTGAAATTCAGTCCAGTAACCGCGCATGTATCATCATATGCGTGGTTGTACTATGTAATTTGTGCTTGTGTGTGTGAGATAGAGACAGTTAGCTCACTCTGTGAGGTCTGTGGAATAATTGCACGGTGTGCGCACATGCCAACGTCACTACAGCAAACATTTGCTCGCTTAATTCTATCGTAACCTGAGCCGGGCTTTATTTTCACTATAGGCCAGTAATATTTACTTAGCCAAGCCTGATCCGTGCACACAAGTGATCTCAACTGTTTCCTAAGCCATGTTGACATGTTTGACTTGAATTAAATCTGTGGCTGTAAATAAGAAACCTAGAGGGGGTTCGTCACTAATCGAGAGCAGAGGCACATTGTAAAACTGAAGTTGTACACAAATAATAAGTGTGGGAATGCTGGGACGGAATAAATCAGTTTTAACTAAGTACTGCACTGCTTAAGAGTCTGTAAAGCATAATTCTCAGCATCAGCCCTCTGTGCACTACATTTGCACAATGCTATCTTTACCATAGTAAATGTGTTTTTTAGCTTGGAGAGATTCATCTGAAGAGTTTGGTCGCCATAGCTAACAAAAATACGTTCTAAGAACGATTTGCTAACGTTCCCATTAAGTTAGACAAGTGCTGTTTCTGAATGTTCTCTGAACGTTCGAAACGTCTGATTTTAGAAATGTTTTTTTTCTTGGATTTCCGAACGTTAAAGGAACATTCCATTATATCATTTTGGAAACATTTAGGGTTCTCTGAACATTCTGATACAAGAAGTAACATTTAAAAAAAACGTTAGACAGATGAACTGACTCACCATCACAGCTTATAATAAGAAAAGCAAATGTGTTTACAGTATATACTTCTTATAGTAATACAATTTAATAAGATTTAAAAAATTATAAAATATTAATTTAAATTCCGTTTATTGTTCATCAACTTGGACATTAAAGTCAACCAACTTCATCACTGTTACAGTTACTAAGACAATATTGTTAAATAATAAATTGGGACCAAAATGTCTGTTATCATCGCGATATTTCATTATATGAATTTATTTGATTAAAATAACACATGGCTTGTGCTACGCTTAATGTTCATAACTGTTAAGTGTTAAACAACCAGAATTTTAAATGTTTTAGAAACGTTTATTGGTAATGCAAATGTTAAGGGAACATTACATTTTATCATTTTGCAAGCATTTTGGGAACGTTACTTTTAAATGTTCTCTGAACATTCTGAAACAAGTAGTAACCTTTTAAAAAAAAATGTTAGATGAATGTCCAACTAAAACGTTTTTGTTTTGAGATCTTTGAAGACCAGATAACTTTGAACGAACGTTACATTAATGTTACTGGAAGAACGTTTGTTCATAACTTGGGGAGAACAAGCATTATTTTAGTACTACTGAGATACTATTATAGTTTTTATTAATACTTTAAATCAGTTTTTATATTCTTCTGTTTTCGTTTAGTTAAATATAATAACGTTAGCCAAAGTTCTGAGAACGTTAGCTGGTACGGTAGCCTACTAAACAAGACTTCAAACAGGTTCCGAGCTTTTCTTGTCCTCACTCGGTTTCCTGTCGCTCTGCGCTCGTGCTTCATCCCGCTGTGGTGGAAACTTATTTGAGCATCAAAACTCAAGTTCATACGAAAGGACCTCACCGAGAGGCCCTCCCGGCGTTCGTAATTATTAAAATAACATTTTCAAAGAATCATGCGCCGGGTTGGTATGAAGAGGGAGCGCCTTTAAAAGGCGAGAAGAGAAAATTAAAAGGCCGATGCGCAGATGGAGTGGCATCCATCACCTCCCTGAACTCTCAGGTTAAGAAGTTGTTTTGTTATCTCCCGCTCGCCCTTCGGGTGTGATTAAGTCTTGTTTTCCCTGTCCGCCTCGTGTACTTGCGCTTAAATGTCAAAACTGTGGCAGGAATGCTGGAGCGGAGAGGTCAAATTAGGTCATATGGAGGATGTAAACAACAATGTTTTCTTTTCTTTTTTCTTAATGGACT